TGATAGCTGATTCAATAATTGTTCATTCATTTTAGCGATAGTTCATAGGTTTTTTTTTTTTTTTTTTTTTTTTTAAACATCAGAAATAAAGGTCAGAAATGTCGGGGAAGCAGGCGATTGGTTACGATCATGGAAGCTTAGCTATAAATGGAAAAAAAGTACAAGACTTAGCAGACTTTCGGGAGGGTAGAGGAGACTTTCTCAGATCGCATACAGTTTAGAATGCAAAAAAAATGGGAAAAGGCAGGGAAAAATTTCTAGAATAAATTAAAATTTGTATTACTTTAGGAGTACATTAACGTAGAACTCTTAGGCTTGCGCCGGAGCGTTTCCTGTTGATTTCAGCCATATAGTCATAATCTAAAGATTGAAATTAGTTATAGTTAAGTTTAAAATATTTCTCAAAAATTTGTTGGCAGTTTTTGGCCTAAATATGTCAATGAGCTTTATACCCGTTTTCTCGTAGATCGCTTTGCTCCTAACGAACCAGCGTGATCTTGTTAGTTTTCGCTGAGTAACATTTTGAATTACCTGAAGTCAAAGATCAAAGAAGTACATGTAAATTCTCAGACAGAACAAGCATATGTGATAATTGGTCGAAACATGGTATCATAGATGAGCAGCTTATTGTCTAAGGAAAGAGTTAAGTTCCTCAGAATTAAGGCGTATAGTGAAATAACTTAAAAACTTAGAGATCACTTCTTTAATGTGAGGCATCCATGTGGGTCGTTGGTATAAAACAGCACCGAGATATTTTACCTGCTTGACCCACGGTATATACATAGAAAGTCTTCCGAATGAACATTACTGAAACTGTGTTGTCCACGCTAATCTTAATTTCCGACTGCTGAAGTCAGGCCTCCACTGCATGCATATGATTTTGCAGTAAATTAGCTATTGAACCCAGAGATGCATTTTGTGAAATGATCGCAGTATCATCTGCATACATTGCTAGCGTAGTGTTGTGAGACTGAAGAATGTCATACACATACAATATGAATAATAAAGAACAGTGAACAGAACCTGTAGAAGGCCAGCGTTAATTAATCGACGCGTGGAATATGTGGTTTTGATGCGAAGGACAAAATTTCTTTATAACGTTTACGATATATATAATTAATTATCATTATCATTCTATTAATAATGTGTGTAATGTAAAATAGAAACCAAAAGTGTTTAATTTATAAGTGAGACCCTCCAGCCAAACACGATCGAAGGCCTTCAGAATATCGAGAAAAAGTCCACTAGTTGATCTTTGATTTTGAAGTGCATCTGAAATTTACTCAACCATTCTAACTCTATGAACAGTTGAATGTTTTATACTTGTTCATATTGGTGCATGAAATAATCATTAAATTTGGCTCATACCACTCATAGCTAAAGGTTATATATTCACCCTTTATTAATCATTGAAGGAGTTTTTTTTAATCAAAGAAGAAAAATTACTCAAATGTTGAATAATTATGAGAATTTACTTTCAGTTTTATATGCAGAATCATCTTCCTTAAACGACATTTCAGATTTCCAGATCACTTTGATCTTCTCTGGATGTAGTTCGACAACACGATTAACAGTGATGTTCATTATAGTTACCAACACTTCGAAGAAGTGTTATTGCTTTCACTTAGCTGTAAAATCATGTCTATACCAAAGTGCAGAAACACGAAAACACGTCATTATCAGTCGATGGTGGATATCAGCTTTTATTTATCTTCTGTATCAGAGTTTCTTAAACTGTGGGTCACGTATGCAATTGGGTTCGCGGGACCTTCAGCAGGGGGTCGCCAAAAATTTAGCAATTTTGATATTTCTGTAACTTATTATAATAATTTTACAATTACCAAATATTTTTACATAATGTATCTGAAAATAGATAAAGATAAGACAATACAGGCAAAGAAAAACCGAAAACATTTCGACACATTTTTTTATATAATAGAAACGTTCATTTAACTTTAAAAAATTAGACAAAATTAGACATTTAAAAAATAGACAATGACCTAAAACTGCAGTAGTATATTACAGTACAAGCGAAGAAACTAAAAGTTACCCTCACGCGTGTGTTGGATTTGCGCAATGCTTATGGGGTGCCACAAAATTTTCGTAAATATTAGGGGTCCCCACACCAAAAAGTTTAAGCAACCCTGTTCTATAATATAAAAATGCATTGCTTATCTGAGAAAAAAAAAAGGATGAATTATTTTAAGAAAATGATTTTATCTGCATATCTTAATGACATATTGCAACAAGTGTTACTTTATACTCTAACCGTTATCAATAAAATATGTTTCAAGCCTCCTGTGCACTTATTTCTTATACACTATGTAAATATACATCGATTGCAAAATGCTTAACTATATTTCTGGCATACATTATCATATACGTTCAAGTGAAAGTCTGAATGACCCCCCCCCCAAAAAAAAGCCTCAGTATACAAATCACGTGTCTCGCTGTATGTATTACTTTTTTAAAGCTCATTTATACAATAATAGACTTTTTTTCAATATTTTGATATTCTCTCCTTTGCACCATTTCCCATTTAGAAAAGAAATGACGAAATTTCTAAGCTTTTAAAATTGTAATTTTTTTTTCAATTAAGTTTTAGTATTAATCACAAACTTCAAAGACTTAGTTTTATGAATTGATATCTCAGATACTATATTTGTTTTATAAAATAACGCACATATCTTTACAATTTTTATTAGCTATTGTCTTAACTTTTTTAATATTTTAAATGCCAAATGCTTTTTTGAAATGTTAGATTGAAATCTTAACTTTTCTGGTTTTAAGATAATATTTTTAATATTTATATATAAAAAAACTAGTAATCTGGTCATTTTCAGAAGTGGATGACTAAGGGAAACAATCAGCATGAGATATGCGTATTCCTTGCTAATTCTGGATCCACCAGCGGCCGAATATAGTAAAGTCGCTGAATATTGGTAGTCCGATCTGTGGTTCGAATCCCGGCGAAGGGGATGGCTGCATGCGCGCTCTCGTGGCTTACCCCATGTTTAACGTACATACGAGCCAGCCTACCTTACAAAAGCCTTCAACAAAAGCATCCCTTCCCTTAGGCAGATATCCCTCGAGTGCTTTGTCATAATCGGTTAAACCAAATCAAAACAACCTTACTCTCTTCGTTGTATAATATATTCTCAATTTTTTTAAATACTGCATAAAGTAAAAGCTCTGCTGATTATTATGAAATCAAAACTACAAATGGAAATTTTTAAGAAAATGTCAGACAAACTGTTAAAACTATTCTCCTTGTTGAAAAGCTATTTAGCACAAGATTTCTTATGATATTCTCTGTTGACATGTTCTCATCAAACCTTTAATTTTTTATGGCAAGTGAATCTAAATATGAAATTATATCCGCAAATAAATTAAATTTTAAAAGAATTTCTCTCTCAAGCCAATAAAGAAAGCTTTTCAAAATATTTCTTTCTCAAACCAAACCTCTAATTATTCTCATAAAATCTTAATTTCTTTTAAAAACACGCAGATTAAAAAAAAATGAATATCGTAATAACAGAAATATTGATTTCAAAAACAAATTTAAACAATCGATATTTATATTTACGATTTAATTAATGCATCGAACAATTAAAAAAACTGGTTAAAGTTAAATTAGAAATTCCCCATATGAAATTATTAGTTAAAAAAGTTAGCGCCAAAAGTCGTGCACACAAGACTTCTCGTACGAATTTTACAGAATCTGATGTTTAGGCATAATTCGACGTGTAGAATCGAAATTTACAACAAATCGGCATGTCATTTCAGAAAAATCCAGTTTTGTGTGAAAATGCTTGAACATATATATATATATATATTATGCTTCACTGATATTTTTGGTTTTCTCCTTGAATTAGATGATAAAAGGAATAAAATATTCTGAAATACTTTTCATTTATTATTCATGCGGATTTCGTGGAAGGTAGAAAAAAATAATATTATATCATTTTTTAAAATATAGACAACATCATGGACATAAATTTTTCAAAAATAATATTGACATTTTATTCTCAAATGAAAGAAAAATGGAGAGGGGAATCTAAAATTTATTTGTTACATAAACTGATTTTCTGATTTTAAAAAATAATGTAATGAAAGGAGTTGATTTTAATCAAGTACAATAGGTAGTAAATAATAAAAGTTAATAGAAGGGATGAGTTTGTCACGGTTGTTTAGGCTTAGTGAGTTTTACCTCTTTCTTGATCTATTTTTTCACAGCACGACCTCTACGCTTTTAAATTTGTGTTTTGCATTTTGTTCCATGAAATCTGCGAAATTGAGGGTGATAAAGCATATGTCATTTTTCTTCGGGAGCTCAAAAAATGCTTTTTGCTCCTGGAAAAGAAGGATGCCTGTCTTTCGCGCTTAAAATTGCTAGATTTTTATTGAAATCTACTTCAAACCAAACTTGCCATTTTTGGCCTTATTTTAAACACTAACAGCAGTGATTCTCAACCTTTTTGCCCCACATACGCCTTACACCATTGCTAGATGAACATACCCCCTTCCTTTCCAAAACTTGAAAAATATATACAAATTTATTTAAATTTAGATTGTTTTAAATATGTTCAATAAATTAAACAAGAAAAAGTATAGAAGATGTTGATAATACCAAAACTTGAGTAAGAGAATTTTTATATATATATATTCATAAACTAAAATTAAATTCTTAACACATAAATAAAAATCTGACCAAATCCCCTCTTGAAACTATGAAAATTCCCTCCTAGGGAGAACTCTGTTGGAACCCCTGACTTATAATTTACAAAATATGTAATGCTGTCTGAACAGTGAGAAAAAATGAGTTTATTTCATGCTTTTATCCTTTTATAAATAGCAAAGCAATACACGAAATAAATTTTTCACAGAAATGCTATTTTGAAGATAGCTGTTAGCAAGCAAGGGTCATGGATGCTAAAAATCCTACATGATTTTGATCTTCTGAAGCATTAAAGAGACCAAACATAAAGTCAATTACTCACCTAAGCCATTTAGGAGCAACCAGAGAAGGGAGCAACCCACCATCCCGCTCCTGAGATTCCGCAGCGATCCGGAATTCTCTGCAGAGCATGCGATCGAATTGCTTCCCGTAAAATCTCCTGTTTGTTCGACCAAAGGTGATGGCGCTTGCGCATAAGCAGGTGCTTAATTTGACGCGTGAAATACAAAAATAATAATAACCAGCAGCGCCTTCTGTTGGAACACTTTCGATTTCAGTGTAGATCGATTAGACCGAGCAGTTAAAAGCATATGAGCGCAATTAAAAATATTACGAAAGAAATTATTTACTAAAATAATTATACTTCTATAAATAGAAGATGTGCATTTCAATGGAATTTAATCATGATATATGTTTCTGTTAGATGGTTCTACCAACTTCTCAGCGGTAACACATGAATGTCACACTGTATTGAACGAAAGACACTAGAAAGAATAGAATTATGCTTTGAGCCGTGCCTTAAGGAGGCTTTTCAAAGTTCTCATTTTCATCTGCATGCTAAATATGATAATCCTATGCTCAGTGTTATATTATGAGTAAAATAAATGAAGAATTTAGTGCCAATAGTGCAAAACGTATTCACGTTTAATAATTAATAATGTAATATTAGATTCAGTAGTAGAATTAAATAAAAGGAAAACAATTACTAAAAGCACTCAGGAAAAGAATTACGTTAATAGCTGCAGCAATTCATTTCTTAAGTGTTTTATGTACAACTTGAGAATTTTCTTATTTTTATATATACTTTTATAACAGATGAATTACTTTGAAATACTGATGAAATCTGAAGATCTGATGAAATGTTTTGCTTTGATAATGAAATATTTTGCTTCTTTTTTTTTTCCCAATGATATTTATATTTTTAAATTCTCTTCTGCCATTGAAAGGAAATAGAAGAAAGTTGATATCAAAGGGCATTCCTTCTTAAATTCGCAGGATGGCAAACAGCATAGCCGCAGCCCTGGAGAGGGTTATAAATATTAAATAGAGAAATCTAGTTGTCTGCTATGTATTTATGGGAGCATATTTTTGTGAAGAGAAATTTTAAGCTTCTGTATGATGATAAATCAAACTATCGCAAAAAATCATTAAGACAAATTTAAGAGTTTTTTTTAATTCCACATATAGATCATTTAATATATTTTTTAGAATTAATGACAGAAAAACTTCATTTGGAACAGATAATTTTTATGGTGGACAGAAATACCACAGTTACTTTTCAGTATCTCTGATATACTGTGCTATATTATTAAATTTAGAAGTGCATTCTGTTGCTGGGTAAGAAAGCAAAATTAAAGCAATAAGATCTCTTAAAAATAATATAAAGGAAATTGAAATTACTGAAGATGGTACTATAAATAGCATCTAAAATTCAGGCTCTAAATGGCTTGAAAGTTTATAAGTAAACTGATGCATAATCCCAACATTCAATTTACAACTATTTTGTATAAATTATGATCTCATTGCAAAGGGTTTGGAGAATATGAGGACCGATGAAAATTTTGAAAATAACATTACTTCTACAAAGTTGGTGGTAACCACCTCCATTACCAATCCTATTTTCCAGAAATTTGAAAGGGAAAAAAAAATGTGTGGATGAGAAGCATCATATGAGTCTATAAATAAAGTCCTAGAAGATTTTAATACCCAGTTCATTTTCCCCTTGTTTTTAGATACCACGCTGTCATAAATAACACAGAGGTTTGCACAGTTAAACAGTATAATAATGACTTTAAGCTGTTTATTTGTAATTCAGCCTTTGCATTTAAAATACAATATTGGATGCAGATTAAGAGAATGGATTAAAATTTATTTAAATATGGCAAAGATATGCCCATGAAAGTAAGTGACACTAACAGTTCTAACGATGGGATACTAAGTGATATTATAAATAAAATAACTTACAAAGTTTTATTGAAAAAACTCATTGGGCATTAAGAAAGTTTTAAAACGGAATTTTTCATGCTGATCCGAGTAAAGCAGCTAGGTCATAATTAGTGACAGCAGTTACTAACATATTTCATCTTGCTTCCATAAAAATATCATCTTATTGTGTAAAGAATTTTGAGGTAAATTTTTGTATTTTCTTTTAGGTAGCAGATACCAGATATTGTAGATTTCAATGGCTAAATAAAGAGAAAAAAATTTTCTTCGCCCATTAAAATTTGATCAAGGAGCTTATTGAAAACCATAGTATAAATGTTCAAAATATTCTTTTTTACTCACTAGATTTGGATACAGGTGGATTACTGTGTGTTTCACCTGTATCCGAAGTTCCCAAACCATTCCTTCCTTTGATGAAGTAGCACCCATCTGAGGATTTGGAGCACTATAAGCACGACACAAAAGAGTATTCCAAGAGTTTATAACGTATTTCCTCCCCCTTCTTAGCATGCCTTCGTGGTGTAACGGACAGCACATTCAGCGCTTATCGAGAGGTCCGAGGTTCGAGTCCCGGCGAGGGCATTGCTCATTTTTCATCTCTCCTGCTTAAAAAAATACCTAACCTCTCTACAGTGGCGCTCGAACTAAAAAAGGTGGTGGATGATGATTCTCCACCATCAGAATTTGGCGAATGGATCCCCTAATCCTCAGTCGCCCTTAAAAAAGGAGAGTATATAAGGTATTTCTCCCGCCTTCTTAGCATGCCTTCGTGTTGTAATGGCCAGCACACTCGGCGCGTATGGAAAGGTCCGAAGTTCGAGTCCCGGTGAAGGCATGGGCTCATTTTTCATTTCTCCTGCTTAAAAAAATACCTAGTGTCTCTACAAGTTGACTTCTAAAAAGCGGTAAAAGCTCTGGAAACATGCCAAAAAATGTAGACGCCGGACATGGAATGTGTATGGGAGACTAAGTAGCAGCAACGAATTTTTTTTTTTTTTTTTTGCACTTGCCTTTGGCAGAAATTGAGTCCTAAAGTTTTGTACTGTGTATATCTCCTTGTCATGCTTTTGAATAGTTTTAGGAAAACTTACCTAATATAGCCTAGGAAAAATTTTTCAAAGCTAAAATTAAAAAAAATATAATTTGCAACAATATCAATAGAAAATTACACTAAGGATTATTTGCATATATACGGTATAACTAAGAATTTTGTGGACAAGTATGTAATGAATGATATTATATATGCTAAAGTTCAAAATACATTACTCTGTTATGATTTTTTACGCTTAAATTTTTATTAGTGAAATGCCGTATTTTCATATATAACCCTCTGAGGGTCCACCTAGGCAAGGTGGAGGCTAGCAGCGTTTAAGGAGGGAAGCGATAAACAGACCCGCCATCAATCAGCAGCCGGTTTCCAATATGGGGGCAAAGCAGAATTTGGTGGTACATTTAACATCGTACACGTAAAGCTGTTATCAATGACATCGGCTCTCAACGCATTCCAACGTGTGCTATCACTAGCAGATTCGAGTTGCGTGCAGCTCGAAAATTCTGTGAATGTAAACAGGGATGCTTCAAAATCCTCGAAAGTTGTATAGTGAACCCTGATTGGCAAAGTAACGGCAGGATCCAAATTTGATTGTTAAGCTCAACGTTGTGAGTTTGTAACATCTAGCGACGTTCACCAGGATTTTCTTCATTTCCATTTCAGGTGATCGACGTTGTTCGCTCCTCATTCTTGTCCTAGACGTATAATGCAAGTGCACTCCATCTTCGCATCCCCCGGGAAAGGTCCTAGGTAAGTATTGAACCACTGATGAAAACTTCCAAAGTTGAATACCAGAAGAAAAGAGTGCAGTCCCATCAAAAGAAAAAAGGAGGTTCGTCAGTAGTGAGGATGCTTCTTCGGCTTCACAATGAATAGCAATGATAGCATCTTGTTGGTGCAGGTCAGCGTGTGCTTAACAGACGGGTGATATGTTGCCTCATAGCCTGAGAAAGGATAATTCTAAAACTGTGTTTTTTCTTGTAGATATGTAAATAATATTATACATCAAATACATAAAAATTCTCTGAAGTTAATTTCGTTTTTATTATATTTATCTTTTTATAGGGAGCGCTAAAATATAACCACACAGATGCCTCCAGTCTGTCGGTGCACTGCAACTAGGTTTAGTTATTAAGCACATGGAGAAATTACACATTATCAGTTAGGTGTGCCTGATATTTTGACTCTTTATTTGAAATGGAGTTGATAACTACACCGATTTCCAAAAAATAAGGAAAATCACAAAAATAGCGATAACTCTTCGAAAAATAAGTCAATCCGTATAAAATTTGAATGTGTTATTAAGTAAGAATTGCTGAACAAAACTGCGGTATGCAAATTAGTAGCGCTGCACTTGAAATACCTCATCTGCGAGGAGAATAAAATTGCATGTTTCAGAGCAAGCCTGCAAATTTGTCTGTGATATTGAAATAAGAAATCTGGTATAGCAAATTTATAACAATGACCTTCAGGCATCATTTGCCCAAAGAACTGCGATGGCGAGTTATTGGAGACTAGAGACAGAAAGAAGTTGACCAGATGGACAAATGTGAGTTCTACTGCGGTTCATATACTTTGGCAATAGTTTCGGCAATCGGAAAGTTCAGCCAAGAACAGCCAACCGCTACAACGGCGATGATGACCGATATTTGTTATTATGCGCAGGAAGAAATAGAACCTCAACTACGCCTCAACTCAGATCCTCCCTTGCTGCAGCCACTGGAAGGTTGGCGTTAACGTCAACCGTGGGTGAAAGGCTTCACGAAGGAGATCTGTATGCGCGGCAACCAGCCATTTGCCTGCCGCTCACGTCATGTCATGGAAGGGAACGTTTGACATGAGCACTTCAATATGTCCACTGGACAGCTGATCAGTGGAGGACTGTTCTCTTTACGGATGAGTTCAGATTTAGTCTCCAAAGCGATACTAGGCGTTCCGTGAAAGAGATGCATAAGGAGAAACCAATGTCTGTGTTTGGGATGGTATCTCTTTGGGTGAAAGTACAGATCTCCATGTCTTTCCACATGAAACAATGAATGGTTAGGCCTATAGAAATGACATCCTTGATTCTTATGTGCACCCATATGCCGGAGCAATAGGTGATCATTTTCTGCTACAGGACGACAACCCTAGACCTCACAGGGCTCGTATCGTGGATGATTATCTTCAGCACCAAACAATTCAGCGCATGGAGTG